GCAGAGGTGCAGCGGGAGCAGCGTGGGAGGGTTCAGGGTGGGAGTCGTGCAATGAACTTGGCTCAGCGTTTCCCATCGAGCTCCTGACTTCAGTTTAAGTAGGTTCCTGGGGACAGGGCACCTTGTGACGTCACACACGCAGTGAAACTGCACGTGATTGTGTGAGCCACACAGACTGCCTTCGCGTGACCAGGTGTGACTTCTTGAGCAAGTCGCCGCTGGGCTTTAAACAAAGTGGCTGGTAAGGGCGTGGGTGGCCAGGCTGGTCCGTGAGCGGAGGTGAGGCCCATGGGCCGTGTGCACCAGGCTCCGGTGCCGCCAGTTGGGGTGTTTTAGGTGTTTCCTGTGCTACCTGCTGTTTATACGGTTCAGATGCACTCACGTTCCTCCTCATTCAACATTAGCAAAGTTGGTGGTGTTAGTTTCTTAAAAACTCATATTGTTTGAGAGAGCTTTTGTTTTTAAAAGATAAGACTGATTCTCGAAAAATACTATTATTGCACCTGTAGCATCTGAAACGCGGACACGCAGGCTCCCACGTTCCTCTGCGTCCTGAGAAGCCGAGGAGGGACGGCGGCTTCACGGAGCTGGGGGCCTGGCTGAGCACGCACCAGGGCCCTTTGGGGAGGCTCGTGTGTCCTGTGGGACCTGCCCCTGTTCCATATGTGAACAGAGCGCAGGTTCTGGTGTGTTTTGCTTGGTAAAGTTGAGTTGTGAGGCACCAGGAGGAGACTGGGGTGACAGTGTCTGAGCCTGGGCCTGGGGCACGGGTCCTGGATCTGAGCTTGGAGGTAGGGACGAGGGCCCCCCCCCAACGCTATGGCCACCAGGAACCACGCAGTGCTGGCCGCCCACTTGCTCTTCTGTTGGTTCCACACGTTCAGGAGTGTCCAGTGTCCCAGGCCCAGGAGTCAGCAGTGGACACACAGACAGACAGACAGACATCACTGTGAGCTGACTGGATGGGGGAGTGGGCCACGACGGGAGGGCGAGGAGGTGTCACCACTGCTGGCGGACAAGGTGCTGATGGGCTGGCCGCGGGGCCTCCCCAGACCCCTCCGTGCCACCCAGTCTGTGGGAGCGGTGGGGGAGTGAGAGGGAGCGGGGCCACGTTGGCCAAGGGCACGGGTGGCCTCCGGTCGAGCTGTGGCCATCCGTTGACACCAGATCTAGGCGTGTGTGGCAGTGAAGGACCATGTTTGTCTCTTCGTTGAGCTGATGCATGTCTGAAAAGTGTTCACGTGACGTGGGTCCTGGCGGGTCACTAACCACAGGTGCG